ATTTGAGTTTTTTTTTTTTTTTTATGACTTTTTCTTGATTTTTTTTTTTTATGGGAAAAATTTTATTATACAACAAATTGGATTTATTAAGTATGAAAACTCAAAAAAATAAAATCAAAAAGGTGGTGCCAGCAAACAAAATTTGAGAGGAAACTTCTCTTTTTTTATTTTTATTTTTATTTTTGAAATTAAACACCGTGGCATATAAAAGAAGAAAAAGTATTTTAAAATAAAAATAATATAAATTATAAATAAAATGGTTTTTTTTTTTTTGGATAAGTTTATTCCCGATTAAAAGTTATCGATCTTAAATTCCAAATGATTGAGATGAGATTTATTGTAAATTTAAATTATTATAATTTTTTAAATAGTTAGGGAATAGGAAATATTGTTTATTATACAAAAAAAAACATCATTAGACAATCTTTGTCTATATTCTAAACAAAGATAAATTGGTTTGTGGGGTTACAACAGTAGTAATTGATGACTATAGTATAGATTGCGGAATAAAAACGTTAGAAAAAGATTAAAGTTTATATTTGAGTATCTAATTAAATAATAATAAATGAATATTTGGATATAAATTTATTTTAGATAATAACATTTAATAGTAATGTAATGACTTTAATAATTTTTTTTAAAAATATTTTTAATTTCAAAAATTTTTAATTTTTTTTTAATTTTTTTTTTTATTTTTTTTTTATTTTTTTTTTTCGTTTTTGATCTTTTTTTTATTATTTTTCATTTTTTTTTATTGTAAATTGTTTAATAAAAAAAGATGTCTCTTATCACACGTAAATCTATTTTTAGTACCATTTCATATATTACTAGAGCAGCTGCAGATAAAAAAGGTGCTGCTGCTGGTGGTAAAAAGAAACCAGGTGCTGGTGCCAAAAAGAAGAGATTTGGTATGTTTACACATAACATATTGCTTTAAATTTAGGATTATAGCATTTTTGGATCAATATATCAGTTTTATTGGATATTTTTAGCACATAATAATAACGACATAGAAATAAAATTAAATTTAATATCGATTAGAGCCAATATTAATACACAAATATTAAATAATTATAGATAGAGGCAATGAACCATTAGTACTCGAAAAGATTTCAACAGTTGTTTTTAAAACTCCATTACCAACAGAAAAAGATGAATTCCCAGCATGGTTATTCGAAATTGAAGATCAACTCCCACGTGATAAAAAAGTTAGATTATTATTACCAGAAGATGGTGCCAGATATTATAAACAACAAGCAAGAAGTGGTATTAAAACTCATAACCAAATTATGGCTTTAACAAAGGGTAGAGGTTTATAAATTATCATTAGTTTAAAGTTTTTCAAAATATATCAATCGAGAAAAAAAGAAAAGAATAAAAAAAAAAAGAACAAAATAAAACAATTTATTATATTTATTAAACAAATGGAAATATACACATTATGAAAACTACAACTATTACAAATATATATTGTAACAGCAACAATAACAACGACAATAACAACCCCAATACAGGTGCAATAAAATAAAATAAAATAAAATAAATATAATTGTATATAAAAAAAAAATACAATAAAACAAAAGGTGGTTTTTTTTTTTTTTTTTTTTTTTTTTTTTTTTTAATGTTTAGGTATCAGTAAAAAATATACATTTTATTTAATATCTATCATTAAAATATTCGTGAATTTGTTTTTTCTTTCTATCTTTTTTAATTTCATGTCTATGTTTTTTGTCAGTTAAACGTTCTTCTATGGCATATTGGGGTTTTTCAGTTGCAACTCTCATTTTGGGTCTGAAACTACAACGATCTAAAATATGCTGTAGTTTATTTAATACCTCTTTTCTATTTTGATCTTGATCTCTATGTTTAGTTGATGCGATAATTAAAATATTTTCTTTGTTTACCATTCTTGTAAAGTTTGTCTATAAATATTAAAATATAATTGTTAAAATGATGAGGGGGTTGGAAAACACAATTATTATATTAAAAAACTTACAGCCAGTTTTTCTTTGACCCAAGTTGGAATCCAATTTGCAGTTTCTAAATTGACTCTTAATTCACATTTTGTGTTTACTTTATTTACATTTTGACCACCTGGACCAGATGATTTTGAGAATTTATATGACATTGATAATGTATTCTTTGGTATTGTAATTTTTTCAAAGAAATCACAATTTCTGTATTCTAAAAATTTATCTTCTTCCTCTTTTGCTTCGATATTTTCTATTTTAACTACTTTTTGAAAATTTTGTTTAATTGGTTCATTTTGTATATAATATTCATCATCGTGATATCTTTTTGATTTATAACCTGATACTTTTTCGAAATCATAGTCTCTATTGCTTTTAATATTATTATTATTATTGTTATTGTTTTTATTATTAATTTCGACTGTTTGATTTTCTTCCAAATAAGTGTGATTGTATCTTTTGTTACCATATAGTCTAAAAATAGACATCATATATCCACCTGTGTGTATGTCATTTGTGAGAAAATATGGTTTATTGTATATTTTAATGCTATTAATTATATTCTTAATCATGATTTCGCTTATTTACAATGAATCTAATAAAAAAATTAAAAAATTAAAAAATAAAAAAATAAAAATAAAAAAACAAAAAAAATAATTTTAAAAAATAAAAAAAAAAAAGAAAATAAATAACTTTTTTTTTTTCTTTAACCTAATAATAATAAAGAATAATTTAAATATACCAATTCAAAAAATAAACACATAAAATTATTTTTTTAGATATTATTTAAAATTTATTATTTTTAAATTTCAAAATCAATGAATAATCATAAAAAAATTAATATAATGGAATTTTTTTTTTAATTTTTAAAATAAAATTTTATTATTAATAAAATCAGATTTTTGATTATTTTTTTTTTATTAATTTGATTATTAGAAAAACAACAGTAATATTTTTTTTAATTTTATAAAAAATAAACAATTACACACCGTTAAATCACCCGTTTTTTTTTATATTTTATTTTAAAAATTATTTTTATAATAAAGCTTTTTTTTTATAAAAATAAATATTTTTATTTTTAATAACAATAAAAAAAAAACTATAAAAGATCTTTTTTTTTTTAAAGTATTGCTTATTTTTTTTATTCATTCACAGTATATATAATAATTTAAAAAATGAAATACATGTTAGCATTATTAGTTTTATGTTTTGCTTTTGCAGGAAGTGTTTATGGTTTACAATATTCAAGCCAGGAATATAGAGTAAGCTATGCAAATTGCCAATCTAAAACCTTCTATCTCCAAGAAGATAACTGTATCAATGTTGACATTCCATCATGTACCAATGTAACTAATACATATATGACCATTTCAAATAATGGTACATATTATTTAAAAACTTTTAACGAGCCAGGATGTACCGAAGAAAACAAAGCTAGTGTCTCATCTGTTAAATTTGATTGTGACAATAACATCAACAACGTTGGTGGCTTTAACATTCAATGTAGACCAGCTCAAATGGGTGTCTTCTATACACTTTCAAGTGACAAATGTCCATCAATCAAAGGTGAATTAAATAAATGTATTTCATTCGAAGAAGAAACATGTGGTTATAAATCTGCTCGTTTCAGTAGTAGCAATGGTGACTCACCAAACTTTGCTGGTTATTCAAATTCATACTGTGGTTCCAATGATGATGGTGATGTTATTTCAAGCTTTGGTGTCTCATGTATTAAATCTGCCGAATCAAAAGCCTACGACCTCGAATGCAATGATTCATCAGCTGCCACTTTAGTCTTTAGTTCATCATTATTATTATTTGTTATTTTATTTGCTCTCTTATAAAATAATAGCAATAGTAATAATTATATATATAATAAAAAAACAAAAGAATAAAGAAATAAAATATTTATTTATATGTAATTTAAAAAAACACAAATTTCTTAGTAGTATACTTTATTTAATCTTTATTTAAACATAATTTGTCGTAATAGTATTCCATTGACTCTGAATTGTTAAAATATTTTTGGTGGTAAATTATAAAATCTGTATTTTTATAACAAATCTTTTCTATTGATCGTGGTAAATTGTTTAATGCTACATGAGGTGAGTTTGATCTTAAAATTAAAGTTTTGAGGTTCTCTGGAACCCACAGCAAACTTATTTCTGAAAGTAAGATTTCTTCTCTAATTTCTAAAGTGGTGATTGATTGTGGTAAGATGGTTTTTAAATGTTTAATTGAACCATTAAAGATTTTGCCAATAACAAGTGTCTGCAAATTGGTTATGGTTTTTATAAATTCTATATTTGAAACAGAGTAGATTTCACCTAGTACCAGTGTTTCTAATGTTGGTGGAACACAATGGATAGGGATTACTTGACTTCTAAGTGTTTGTATTTCTAAATATTTTAAAGAATTTTGGCACATAGAAAAGTAGTTTGGATAAAATGAGTTATCAATGCCACCACTAAGAACGAGTTTTTCAAGATTTGTTGGTAAAGTTAGATTATTTATATTTTCGTAAACAGTATAGTGGATGTACAACTCTTTGATATGACAATAATTGAATTGAAGGTTTGAGAAAGAACGGAGTATATGGTTTTTGTACCAAAGTTCTTCAAATTGGTATACTTGTTCAGGATATAGAAATGATTGTAAAGATACGTTTGTTGATTCTTCTCCCACTTTAAATTTCTTAACCGAAACTGGAATTTTTAATTTGCCAACTTGATAATGTTTAAGAGTAATTTTTGGTATATTAATTTCTTGTATATTATTTGGGAACAATGATTCACCAAATTGCTGAATCTCTCTGGGCATTGTTAAAACTTTAACATTTGGTATTGCATTATCGTCAAACTTCTTGATAACAGATCCACTAAGATCCAAAACCGTTACAGACTCTGGGATGGAACCTTTAAGTATGGACTGATTAAAGGCTAGGCCTACTTTTAAAAATTCTAAGCTTTTTGGTAAAATTGATTCATAGTCATTTAAATGATCACCTATTTCTTCATCATCTTGTTGATTTTGTTTCTTAAATAGTCTTGAAAAAAAACCTTTTTTTCCAGTGAAAAAATTCTTTTTTTTGATTAAAAATGGTTGGTTAAAGTTTTGTGGGAATGTAATTTTTTTAATGCCATTTGGTAAGCTGTTTAATTTTAGTGGCTTTGAAAAGGCGGAGCTTTCAGGAAAACAAATTTTCTTTAAGCTACTTGGTAAAACACCAGGTTCTAAGCTTTGATTGAATTTTTTTCCAAAATGAATTGTTTTTAATTGTTTGCAATTCTTGAATAAGTTAGTATTAAGGGGTTGGTTGTACCTAAAACCAAATGTAACCTTCTTCAAAGATGGTGGCATCACATTTTCTGTTGTAAAAGCTAGGTTATAGTTTTCTAGTATAAGCTCTTCTACAGAATATGGAATAGAGTGGTCTTTAAGAGTTGTATTTCCATAAAAACTAAGTGAGACGAGTGTGTTTGGTAATGTGTATGGTTCGATGCTAGAGCTATATGTTGATAGATTAAGCTTCTTTAAATTCGATGGAAGACATTTCACTATATTTTGTAAAATTTCGAAACTCTTTTTATTCTCTGGTAAATCTTTATTTGGAGTGTGATGGTTTATATAATCTCTATTATCTACGAAAAAGTTTAGTTTAATTGATAGTTCGGTAATTGGTGATTCTTTGAAGTACTCCATTATTTGATTAAGATGACTTTCAGGTTCTTCCTTTATTATAATTGTATCATAGATTGAGATTCTTTCTACATCTTTTGGTAGATTGAATAAACAGCTTGAATCTTTGATATGAAATGATTTGCAATAGTCAAGACCTTTATAAGATAATATATATTTGAATGATGGGGAAGTGACACCCGACATATAGGTTTGATTATGTAGTTTAAAAATTGAACAATATTTTAATATAATATTTTTAATGTACTGATTTCTCCATATTTTTAAAAATAATATTGAGATATAGTTATTATCATTATTAATATTGTTTATCATTATCTTTTAATTAATTAATATATATTATGTTTATTAAATATTTAATACTATGTTTGAATAGAGGAGAAAAAAAAAATTATAATTTCATTACAAAAAAAACAAAAATAAATATAGGGGTTTCTTTTTTTAAACTATTAAAATAATTATAATAATTATTTTCTTAAAAAGATAAAGGTGCACAAAAAAAAAATCAAAGAAATTAAAAAAATAATTAAATTTTTATATTTTGATTAATTTTCTTAAATTTTTCCCATTTTTTTTAATTTTATCAAATAAATTGATCAATCAATAGATCAACTAGTTCATATAAAATAATATATATAGTAGTTTTGTAAGAAATGAAAAAGTTTATAAGTTAAACTTTCTAAATTTTTTATTTTTTACCAGGTTTAATAATAATCCTCATTTTAATTTTAAAAATATTTTTTTTATTTTTTTAAAATTTTTTTAGATTTTTTTATTTATTTTTTGGTAACTGACAATTGTGTTGGATCAAACAATGAATAAAGTATTAATATTTTTATTATTTTTATTATTTATAAACAGTTCATTATCAACCAAAAGCAATAATGAATTAAAAAAGAAACCAGATTGGTATTCGATAGATAGCAATTTTCAAATTACACCAGGAAAAAATACAAATTCACTTGGATGGGGTTACTACAAATCGGACATTGAAAAGGATGGGTGGAATAAATTATACATCGAAATGAATTCAAATATTGTTTCGAACGATTCATCATTATATAGAGCAGCTGGATATTTAGAGGGTTATTTGACATGGAGCACAGCATGGAACTACACACAATCATGGATTGCCAATAACGTCGATGGCCAGATTGATATGGACTTATTAAATGATTTTATGAATACAAATTATCAATGGATGTTGGATAACTTTGCTCCACCATTTTCATCGGTATATGACCAACAGGTTTATAATGTAATTCAACAATTTGAAGGTTTCACCAAAGGTTACGAAACAGCAGCCGACTCGGACAAGCAATTACCATTCGAAACATTATTGTTATTACAATATGCAGGTGATATCGATGATGTTATAGGTTATTTACAATACGAAAACTCACCCAACAAAACTGCTTATGGGGAGCAAACTTTCACATTTAAACAACTTGAAGAATACATGGCCACCAAAGGAAGATGCTCAGGTTTGGTTAGGGTCCCACCAGATTTCTCAGAATTATTTATTTCACATTCTACCTGGGGTTCCTATTTCAGTGCTGGTTATCGTGTCTTCAAACATATCATTATACCAGATTCAAGTGTTCCAGGTAATGAAGTTGTATTTTCAAGCTATGCCGGCTTTTTATCTTCAGATGATGACTTTTTCCAAGTTCTTTCAACAAAGTTAGCAGTCATAGAAACCACTAATAATGTTTTGGATCTTTCACTCTACCAATATTGCACACCAAATTCATTATTATATTGGGTTCGTTCCATTGTTGCCAATCGTATTTCTTCATCTGGTCAAGAATGGACCGAAAATTTTGTTAAATATAACTCTGGTACATATAATAACCAAGTAAATATTACTAATTATAGTTTGTGCATAATAACACTTATAAAGGCTACATATACTAATGATATTTTTTATTAAAATAACAGTGGATGATTGTTGATTATAAATTATTTACACCATTTGAGCAACTCCAGCCAAACACTCTTTGGATTGTAGAGCAAATCCCGGGCAATTCATTATCAAAAGATGTTACCGACATGTTATCATTGGGTTACTGGCCATCGTATAACAGACCATACTTTACCCAATTTTATCAAGAGTTAGGTTATGGAAAATATCAAGAGTTATACGGCATCATTTTTACATACGAATTAAACCCACGTGCTAAAATTTTCCGTAGAGATGCTCAAAAGGTCTATTCATTAAACGATATGCAGGGAATAATGACAATGAATAATTATAAAACCGATCCATACAGTGGAGGTTACCCGGGTAATGCTATTGCTGCAAGATACGATTTAGGAGGTGGTCCAAGTGAACCATTTGGCTGGTCTTATATAGGTTTACATGGTGCAATCGACTCAAAAATTGCCTCGTATCAAATGATTCAAAATAATCAGTTAATAGCTATCAATGGACCAACTGTAACTCCAGATTGCCCTCCATTCACATGGAATTCAAATTGGACTAACTCTCAAGCCCACATTGGTTCACCAGATACTTTTAATTTTGATTGGGTTATTATTGATATTAAAAATAATTAATTCTGTTACAACAATAAAGTTTTTTGTACTTATAAATTAATAAAAATAAACTTTTATTTCTTTATTTTATTTTTTTAGTTTTTTCTAGTAGAGGGAGAATAAATTGATAAAAGAAATGTTGGTCGGTGCATTTGTTTGGGGTTTTTATATTTACAAAAATTATATATATTTTGGTTTTATTAATATACTTGGTTTGCAGAGGTGGTATAAACAGTTTGATTCCAAATACTTGATTTATCGCTCATTTCTCTTAGTTTACCATTTCCATGAACCCAGTCGGTAGTCTCGTTTGTTTTATTAATTGTTAATAGTGGATGCAATGATTTTCTAATTACAAGATAATCACCTTGTTCGATTTTGACTGATCTTGTACCATCAAATGTTGCACTAATTGATCTTCCTTTTTGTGAAATCATCTGTTGACAATAAATAAAGAGTTATGTATTAGTAGGAGTGGTATTAAATTTATATTTAGATAGATGATTAAAGATTGGTTACATTTAATTTTAAAACAGAGTCGTCAGGTAAAAGGGCAGGTTTTGAAGAAAAAGAACTTGGGCAAATTGGGGTTAATAAAATACAGTTAATACATGGATGAACCATAGGACCGCCGCAAGATAAAGAGTATGCAGTCGAACCAGTGGCAGTGGCAACAATTAAACCATCACCAACTATATCTGATAAAGTATGTCCATTGATTGTGCAGTTGATGGTTGTTAAGTGTGGGTTGGAGCCACGATGTAAAGTAACCTCATTTAAAACTTGGAAACTTTTCTTTACAATTGGTTGGGTCGAGTGAACTTCACCTATTGAAATTGATGGTGATACTATATTGGTTGTGGGTGTTGTTGGTGGGTGTGATGAGGTAATTGGTTGTTTTGAATAAATATCGCAAATTAATCTCATTCTATTTGTACATAAAAATCCACCATTAATAACATTTGAAATTGATTCTTGGTAATCTTCAATATCTAATATATAAAAAAGTTTGGTTGGTTAGCTAATCATTCTTTTTATGTATTGGCTCCACACCTATGAATACTTACTAAATGGCATTAAAAAACCTAATGTACCCAAGTGAAATGAAATAATAGGTGGTACTTCATGTTTAAATAGTGATGATACATGTAACAATGTACCATCTCCACCTAGTGTAACAACAAAGTCTACTACTTTACCCAATAAATGACTTTCCTCCTCTGAATAGGTCTCGAGAAGTGATGTTGATTCTGATGATATAATAACATTTGGTTCAACTAAAACCCTAAGATTATAAGTTTGTTTTAACCATCTAAATTAAATATTAATATCCAAATTAGTATAAATAATAAGTTTTATTTGATCAACTAAAACGGTTATACATACGCAGCCATTGTATTTAACCACATTGTTGTTTTCTTATCTTTGTGCTTCTTAACAATCAAAACAGTTTTGGGTGTTTCTAACCATTGAAATCTAGTTCTACTTCCTTCTTGGTGATCAACAGTCGGATTGTTATTTTCTCTAAATATTTTATATTCAACTTTTTCTGGTATTTTTGATAATAATAAACTTTTTATATTTTGCGTTGTTGTTGTTGTTGTTGTTGATTGATGCGATGGTGCTGTATTGTTATTGGTATGTGTAGTTGTCGATGGCGCAGAGGAGGGTGAGGATGATGACGGAGAAGAGGCATAAAATCTTTTATTAATATTATTATGATTGTTGTTGTTTATTAAAAAGTGATTTGCATTCTTTATATTTTTGATATTGCTCCTTATTTTTATTATGTTTTTTGATGATTTTGTAATAAAGTTGATATATGAGCTATTCATGGCTATCTGTGTGTGTTATATTATTTGATTTTTGTATATTATAGTATTTTTTTTTTTTTTTTTTTCTAAATTAAATTATATTTTTAATTTTCAGCGAATTAAATAAATAAAAATGAACCCCCCAAATTTTTTTTTTTTAAAAAATTTAAAAAAAAAAAAAAAAATTAAATTTTTCATTTTTTTAATTTTTTTATTTTTTTATTGTATTATTTTTATATATATTATATTTAAAATTATTATTATAACAAAAGTTTATATAACCAATTTTGAAATATAAATTTAATTAATATCACCAATAAAATATAAATCTTGATTATAAATAGATAAATTAATATTAATATATAAAAAGTATAATGTCGGATTCAGATTTACCAAATGCAATTGTAAATAGAATTATAAAGTCATCTGTAAATATCATTAGCATAATTTAAAGGTTAAGAAAATATTGGATACTAATTGGCCCAATTTAAATATGTTTTAAAAAGTTACCTGAAAATGTTGCAATTGCAAAGGATTCAAAATTAGCAATTTCGAAAGCAGCCAAAATATGGATTCATTATTTAACAGCTGCTAGTATAGATTTTAGTCAAAATGCAGGTAGATCAACATTATTACCAAAAGATGTTCTTCAGGCATTGGAAGAATTGGATTTTGAATCCTTCAAAGCCCCATTAGAAGAATTTTTTAGCAACTATAAAATAAAAGAAAAAGAAAAAGAAAAAAAGAAAGAAGAGGAGAAAAAAGAGAGGGAAAAAGAGAATAAAGATAAAGAAAATAAAGATAAAGATGATAATGATAAAGACGACGACGAAAATGAAGACGAAAAAAATAACGATAAAGATGGCAGTGATGATAAATAAAATTTGTATAGAAAAAAAAAAAAACAGTTCAATAAAACAAAAATAGAAAAATATCCAAAAAAAAAAAAAAAATACAAAAATACAAAACCAAAACAATTTATAGTATTCTATTCTCTCTATTATAATAATATTTATTTTTATTTTTTATTTTTATTTTATTTTAGTTTTATTTTTTTATATATTTTAAAAATAAAAAAGGGGGTGGGGGAACAATTTTTCTTTTTTCTTTTTTTTATTTTTTTTTATTTTTTTATTTTTATTTTTGTATTTGTGTGTGTTTAAATTAAACCAATCGGGTTGTATACTCTAGATTTATATAGAGCATATAGTAATAGTACAAAAAAAGATGTGTTCATAGTTTTATAGTTTTTTTATTGTTATTTTTCTCTTATTCTTTTTTTTTTTTTTTTTCTTTTCTTTTTTTTAGTTTATAGTTTTATAGTTTTGTGTGTATCTTTTTATATACATATAATTGTTTTCTTTTTTTTTTTTTTTTTTTTTTTTTAAATAAATTGTTTCAAAAAACTTCAATGCAAATTAATAAATTGTTTTAATACCAAAAATTATTTTCTTATTGTATTAAAATAACTCACCCCAATAAATAATAATAGTTATCAGTTTATTCCTTTTACCAAAAACTTAAAGTAATTATATGTTAATAGATTAAAAGTTAAATATAAAAATACAAAAACTAAAATTTTTTTACAAAATATTTTCTTTATCTCTCCATCTCTTTAAATTTAGATTTAGATTTTAAAACTTTTTGTAAAAAATAAATAAAGGAAATGGGTGCAGAGGATAATAAAATCACAATACCATCTTTTTTTGATAATATTTCAGAACCTGATGTTGGTTCCAAAGATATTGTTTCACTAAAGAATACATTTCAAACACCTTTATCTCATTATAGCGCCCAAAGCAGTTCCCAAAGAAGTGACCAAAGCAGTTTAGAAGAAAATGGTGGAGTTACAGAAGATACAGAAGATGTTGAATATGGAGGGGATGCAACTCATTTCCCATCATCAATTAAATTTATTCTAGGTAATGAAATTGGAGAGCGTTACAGTTTTTTTTCAATGAAATCCATTCTTAATAATTATTTAATTAATTTTATGGGATATCAAAGTAAAACTGCAGAGTCTATAGGTCATGGTTTTAATGCAAGTGCCTATTTTTTGTAAGTTATAAATTTATACTTTGTATAATAGATGCAAAATATTAATTTATTTTATAATAGTACATTATTAGGGGCATATGTTGCTGATGGTAGATTGGGAAAATTTAAAACAATTTTATATTTTAGTATTTTATATTGTATTGGTGCAGCAATTTTTGCAATTACTGCTATTCCAGGTGTAACAGGCAGTGGTCCAGGTAATAGATCGCCATGGGGATTAATATTAGGTTTATCGGGTATTGCAATTGGCACAGGTGGAATTAAACCAGTTGTTTCAGCATTTTGTGGAGATCAATTTGGACCCCATCAAAAAAAGCTATTAGCCAATCTTTTTCAAGTATTTTATTGGTGTGTTAATGTTGGAGCTTTCTTTTCATCAATTTTATCACCAATTTTAAGAACCAATGTAGGTTATTGGTGTGCTTTTTTAGTTCCTGCCGGTATTTTATTAATTTCTATAGTTATTTTTATTGGTGGAAACAAGAATTATATCAAAAGAAAGCCACAAGGAAGTATTTTTTCATCATTGGTTAAAATTATTGCAGTTGGTGTTTCAGAGTCTACCAAGAAGCATTTAAATCCAAATACTTACAATGACACTTATTATCAAGATTGTTGGGTAGATAGGGCCAAACTTAAACATGACCCTATTAAAGTTGACCAAGTTAAAATGGTACTTAAAGTATTGTTGGTATTTACACCACTCCCATTTTTCTGGGCTTTATACGATCAAACTGGTACCAGATGGACTACTCAAGGAAATACAATGAATAGAAGAATCGGTTCAATAACATTAGACACAGAAATTATTGGTGCCATTAATCCATTATTGATTTTAATTTTCGTCCCCATTTTTGAATATGCTCTCTATCGTCCATTACAAAGAAAAAATATTAATTTCTCGCCACTAAGAAAAATGGGTACTGGTATGTTTTTATCTGTTATCGCATTTTTAGTTGCCGCTGCCCTTCAATTGGTCATCGATAATAGTTCACCAAATTCAGTTCATATCGCATATCAAATCCCACAAAATCTCATTCTTACATGGGGTGAAATTCTTTTATCAATTACTGGTCTCGAGTTTGCATATGCAAATTCACCAAGAAGTATGAAATCAGTAGTTATGGCTGGTTGGTTATTAACAGTATCCATTGGAAATTTATTTGATGTATTCGTTATCAGTTCAATTAAAGCTTCAGAATTTGTATTATATATCATCTTTGCCGCTGTTATGTTTGTTTTTATTTGTATTTTTGTAATTATAGCCTACAAATTTAAACCACTAAGTGAAGATCTTATGAACGCTCTAAATGGTCAAAATCCAAATAATAATCAAGATGGAACAGAAAGTGTCGAAACATCAACCGTTGACACTTCAACTATTGACAATTTATCAATTAATGATGAAGTATATAGTGACACATCATCAATACCAGCACATTACTCACCAAAATCAAAAAGACAAATAGAGGAAAACTTTACTAATGATCCAGATATTCCATCATCATCAGCTACAAGCAGACGACCAACTACAGACAACAATAGTGTTGATTTGGAAAAACATGAAACAGATAACAGTAATAGTCTAAACAATAGTACAAAAATAAGAAATAGAAGTTTAAAAAATAGTAATGAAAGTGTTATTAGTTTAAAAAACTTTTTTAATGATACTGAAGATAAATAAAAACAATTTATTATAAACAATTTAATTAATTACACTATTTTTAATTTTCTTATCAAAAACAACAATTGGTAAAACAATTCACAAGATATATTTGTATAACGGTATAATTTTGTTTTGCTAATTGGGTGTTTATTATTCTCAAAAATTTAATATATATTTCCTTTTTTATTTTTTTATTTTTTTTTTTTATAAATTTTTTTTTTTTTTTTTTTTTAATTTTTTTATAACAGATTTTGGTGGTATTTCAATACTAATCATATGAATTATTAACATATTAATTATACACATATTACAATAATTAAAACAGTTTAAAATGCTACCATACTTTAATTTTTATTTTTTCCTTGTATCTTTTTTTTATTTTTTCAGGTTAAATAAAAAATCAAAAACTTAAATCTATTCTGTTTTTAGAGAATAATAATAATAATAAAATTTAGGTTTATACTTTTTATTTCAAAATAAATAAGTTTATAATAATACTTCATACTAAAAATAACTTTTATAAAAAAATAATAATTTTAAAATCCAAACATTATAAAATAAATTATATTTTTTTTTATTATAATTATTTTATTTATTTATGGATCTTTAAATATTATTTATTATTTTTTATTTAATAATTTAGATATTGGAATACTTATAAATACTATATGGTAAGAATTAAATTTTATTAATATTTATAGATATTTTTAATTAACAAAGAAAAAATATTTAAAAATAAAAAAAAATATTTACATTTTTTAAATTATTTTATTTAATATTGTCCTTTCTATTTAAATACTAATAATAATACTGTATTGTTACAATTTTTAAATATAGAAAACATGGGTTTGGATGGAGAATCAAAAAATTCACATCAGCTATATGTGGCTCCAACTGAAGGTATATTAGTAGAAAATGCAGAAAGTTTAAGCGACACTATATCATATCCAAGTAATAATGAAATATCATCATCAAATGTTGACCTTATTGTAGAGAATGAGAATATAGAGCAGGTTTCAGATTCAAAATTCCCTCCATCTATTAAATATATTTTGGGTAATGAAATTTGTGAAAGATATTCATATTATGCATTAAGGTAAGTTTTAAAATTATATAATTTACTTTAAATTTCAATGTTAATAATTATTTTATTACAATAGATCTATTTTAACCAACTACTTGATTAATTTTATGGGTTATTCGAGTAAAAATGCTTCATCCATTGGTCATGGTTTTAACGCAGGTGCTTATATTTTGTAAGTTTAATATTAAACTTTTGAAATATTTATTTTAAATACTAATATATGTATTAAAAGCACATTGGTTGGTGCTTATATTTCAGATGGTGTTTTAGGTAAATACAAAACAATTTTGTATTTTAGTATTTTGTATTGTATTGGAGCAGCTATATTTGCAATAACAGCAATACCCGGTGTAACAGGTAGTGGACCAGGAGATAGATCTCCTTGGGGAGTAATTATAGGTTTAGTAGGTATTGCAATTGGTACAGGTGGAATTAAACCAGTTGTTTCAGCATTTTGTGGAGACCAGTTTGGACCCCATCAAAAAAAGCTATTAGCCAATCTTTTTCAAGTATTTTATTGGTGTGTTAATTTGGGTTCATTCTTTTCTACAATTATATCACCAATTTTAAGAACTAATGTAGGCTATTGGTGTGCTTTTATTGTACCATCAGTCATTTTAGTTATTGCAATTATTGTTTTTGTTTTAGGAAACAATAAATACGTAAAGAATGAACCACAGGGCTCAATACTAAAAGATTGTGTTAATATATTTGGATATGCATTAAAAGAAAGAATAAAAAAACTAATTCAGGGTAAAAAATATAATGACTCTTATTATACAGGAAGTTTTTATGATAGAGCCAAAGCAAAATATGATCCAAGAACAGTAGAACAACTAAAGTTGGTAGCTAGAGTTTTAATTATATTTATTCCTCTTCCATTTTTTTGGTCACTTTTTGATCAGGTATGTATTATATATCATTTTTATTTTTTATATCATACTAACATTATATTAAATCTATAGACAGGAACTCGTTGGACTATTCAAGCAAACTCAATGAATAGACATTTAGGAAGTTGGAAAATAGATTCTGAAATAATAAATTGTGTAAACCCCATCCTAGTAATGATATTTGTACCAATCTTTGAATATGGGATATATCGACCATTAGAAAAAAGAAATATTAATTTCTCTCTTCTTCGAAAGATGGGTACTGGTATGTTTTTATCGGTAATTGCCTTTTATATATCTGCCATAATCCAAGTTAAAATAGATAATAGCCCACCAGAATCAGTTCACATTACATTACAACTCCCACAATATGTAGTTTTAACAGCAGCAGAGGTTCTTTTATCAATTACCGGGTTAGAGTTTGCATACAAAAACTCTCCACGTGCAATGAAATCAATTGTTATGGCTGGTTGGTTAATCTGTGTATCCATAGGTAACATTTTTGATGCATTTGTTATTGAACTAATTGAATTACCAGATTATCAACTTTCACTATTATTTGGATCGGTAATGTTTGTATTTATATTTATATTTATTATAGTTTCATATAGATTCAAACCCATTGAACAAAAAACTCTCGATGAACTAAATGGTGATATTCCAAGCATCTATGATAACTATAACAAAGAAATAGAAAATGCAACTCCATTAAATGACCTAACATCAAGTGTAGACTCAAGTCATAATACAAATAACAAATAGTAATTTAAAAAAAAACAAAAAAAAAAAATAAAAAAAAATAAAAATAAAGATTAAAGATATTTAAAAAAAAAATCATGTGATATTTATTTTAGTTGCCACTAATTACCAGTGTTTTCCAAAGTTAACTTCCTCTGATTAACTATTAAATTATCTTGGATTAATTATTCCACCATGGAATTGTGTTATTGTAATTTGTTCCCATTGAAAATTGTAAAGATCCATAATAATTTACAAAAAAAAAAAAAAATTTTTTAAAAAAAAATTTGTGTATTTACGATGTTTTTTTAAAAATAAAATTGAAATTATACAAAGGTTTTCATTATTTTAAGAAAAAATGATTATTATTAATATTATTTGGAATGAAAAAAAAAAAAAAAAAAAAAAAAAAAAAACGAAAGATTAAAAGTATTGTAAAACTTAAACAATAATTTGACCTTTTGTTTTGGTTTTGTATTGGTTATAAAAAGTAAACTGATTTCAAATAATAAATAAAATTTTAAAATATCACACGCACAAATTACTTTTATACTAAAAATTGAGAAAAAAAGGATAAAAGCATCAAACAAATATAAAACCAAAAAAATAAAATAAAAAAATAAAAAAAAAAATTAAAAATAAAATTAAAAACATTTTTTTTAATTTTTATTTATTTTATTTTATTTTTTCAAGGGTTATTAAAAAAAAATATATTTTTGTTTTAAAATGAACATATATTCAAATAATAATAATAAATAAAAATGGATAGTAATAACAAAAGTTATAGTAATACTATTGATAGTGTTAATAATAAAAATGATATTTTATTTAAAAAAATTTGGAATAATATCGTAATAAGAAAAAAAATTAAATTTTATTTAAATTTTTTTAATTTATATTACCATACAAGAATTTTTACAATTAAAGAATATGAATCGTTCAAATTTAAAAGTTTTTTAAGAAGTATAATACTAGAGTTTGACAACACAGATAAACACAAACTATTCGAATGGATGAGCGAACTACCACCCAATATTGAACAAATTCGATTCAAAAACATGGTTTATTTTAGGAATCCCACATTTCACTCATTTAAAGATGAAGATTTCGATCCATTTGGTAGACCACTTACTACAATCGATATACCACCGCAAATTAGTCATATTTCATTCGATCCATTGTTTAACCAACCATTTTTAGAACCACTACCAAACACATTAAAATCTGTAGAACTTTGCAAGTTTTTTAGACAACCACTGCATTGTGCCAACGATACTAGCAAATCTTTCCTACCAGAGGATTTACAAGAGCTTCGTTTCTATTTCAAAGGTCTTTTCAACACACCTATCGAAAAACACCATCTGCCAAAAAAGCTACGTAAAATGGTAATGGGTCTAAGCTTTAACCAACCAATAGGACATGGCGTTCTACCCGATACTTTAGAGTCCCTCGAGTTTTCATACCATTTTAACCAACCACTATCACCAGGAGTTTTACCCGAGGGTTTAACATTTTTAAGGTTTGGTAACTCTTATAATCAGCCATTGATTGGTATCCCATCCACCGTGCGTACCCTAGTTCTGGGTACTGACTTTAACCAACCAATAGCACCAGGGCAACTTCCATATGGGCTTAGAGAGTTAATATTTTCAAATACATCGCAATTCAATCAACATATTGACACCTCAATTTTACCAAATACAATTACAAAATTAAACTTTGGATGTGGCTTTTACCAACCATTAACACCCAACTCTATACCTCCATCAGTTACAGAACTTTCCTTGGGCGGTTCACCAAACACCATTTTTGGTGACTATTGGAGCATTAATGCCAACTTACCAACATTACTAGGAACCAATATGATCTCAAAGTATATCGTTACACCAAACTGTTTACCCAAATCAATTAATGCACTTCAACTTAACCCTAGCTTTTTTATCAAAAAGGGATCCATACCAAACAGTGTATACGAACTACAAGGATGTAATTTCAAATTTGTTCAGTTTATTCCTCAAAGTGTTCATAAGCTTAAATTAAATAATGATTTTAATCGACCATTCAAGATGGGCGAACTTCCATCACATCTCCTTACACTCGATTTGGGTGGTGATTATGACCAGCCCATTACAACCAAAACATTTTTAAATAATCCATCACTAACCAAACTCAAACTATCAACTCATTTTAAATCAACTATACAACCATTCTCACTACCACCATTAAAGAAATTATATTTAGGATTTTCATATAATAACCCACAACCATTCAATATCCCACAAACATTAACATATTTGGATCTTGGTAATGAAATGAATCAACCGCTTCATAATTTCCATATGGATACTGCTGCATCACTAAAATATTTAAAATTGGGTTCTAAATTTAATCAAACTATAATTCCATGTTCACTACCACTACAGCTAATCCTCCTCGAACTTGGTACAGATTTTTCACAACCTATCGATACCAATTGGTTACCTCCTAATCTTAAAGCATTAATTATTCAGGGATCAAATACAACAATCGACGAATTTCCATTATCACCATTACTAGAATATATAATCATCCCAAACAATAATAATAAGTTCATCAATTCACTTTATGATTTAAATAATATTTTAAAACAAAAAAGGAAAATTAAAAAATATCAATTACTCGAAAAAGATAACGATCATAATAACAGTGATATTATAGTTAATGATAGTAATGAAGAAGACATATATGAATATGATTTATTTAATGTAATTAAAGTTTCAAATTATAATAATACAAAATTGTTTTCAAAATATTATAAAATTTTTAAGGAAAATAAACCAACTTTTTAAAACAACCCACAAACAAACACATATATCTCCTATTATAGGAATAAAATGTAAATAAAAATTTAAAATTAAAAATAATTCACTGGTTAAAAAAATAATTTAAAAAAATATTTTGATAAATTTTTTATTTTTTTTTTTTTATTTTTTTTATTTTTTTTTTAAATATTTTAAAAAAAATTTTTGTTATATTAAATTTAGTTTTTTTAAATAATCTAATGTTATAAAATAGTAGTTTAGAAATAACTTTTTTTTATTTAATAAAAAACAATTTATTTATTTATATATATCACGTTATATAATTTTTTAAAAATAAAACATTTTTAAATAAATTTTTTTTTTTTTTATTTTTATAACAAAAAATATTTATCGAGTGTGTTTATTTTTTTAAAAAAATATTAGGCGATAAAAAAAAACAATAATAAACAAATAAAATAAAAATAATAATAAATATATAATAATAAAGTTTTAATTTAATAATGAGTAATGGTGCCACAAGCTTATTATCAGGTAGTAGCGGTAACATTATGACATCACCAATAATGAATAATGGTAGTAGTGCAAATTTATCGACATCTCAATCAATATCATCACCAATTCCATCACTATCATCAATACCATTACCATCATTTGGAAAATCATCAGATATTTTAGTACCTGTAGTATTATGGTGTGGTTCACCAACCCATTGGATCACATCTATAATTATTACACCAGATAAAAAGACAATTATTACAGGTTCTCAGTCAGGACACTTATCAATATCATCAATATCATTAGATCAAGTAAGAAAGAAATTATAATTATAAATCAGGATATATATTTAATGTATACAAAATAACTAATATTTTTAAACTTTAAAATAACAGGGCAAAGAAAATCAATTTACACCAAAAATTTTAGCGATAGGACATGAAAATCCAATTACATGTTTAGCATTAGGTGAATTTGAAAGAAAAGAAGTTGTAATTTCAGCAGCTACAGATGGTTCGATGGCAGTTTGGAGCATTACAGATGGTTTATGTTTATTATCAACAGTTAGTCATTTTCTTTCATTTTCACCAACACAAATGACAATATTACCAAATAGAAAGCAGGTTGCAGTCTGTGGAAAGGGATCAAATTCTATTTTTATTGTAGATATTCACTCATTACGTATTGTTAGCACTATAACAGATCATATGGATTGGGTTACCAGTTTATTTTCATGCACCATGCAACAAGATAACACATCAATGCTTCTTAGTGGTAGTTTAGATGGTATAATTAGATTTTGGTTATTAAGAGCTGGTGATCAAGATATGCCACTACAAGTTATAGACTCTAGATCATCAATACCAAACTACACTCTGGATGATGCCCCATTATCAATTAAATTTTCACCAAATGGAAAATCATTATTAGTAGTTTCAAAGAATAATTGGTCAATTTTTACAACCCAAAACTCTCGTTTACTTTATTCGATTAGATGTCCATGTACAACTTTAGAGGAAAAACTATCAGGTTTACCAACAAGCGGTGGTTGGTTTGGTGGTGCTTTTGTAGATAACACAATGGTATTGGTTTGGAATAAAGAGGGTAGAGGTTTCTTATATAAAGTTGATCAAAGCGATTTGAAATCATTCTCTTTAGGTGATCCATTACCAATTGAAGGCTCATCTCCAATTAACTCAACATTACTTTCATCTTCATTATCAAAATCTTATGGATCATTATCTTCATCTCAAAGCTTTTTAAATAAAACAACAGATACCATCAACAATAGTAACATTATCACTCCAGATTATTCAGCTATAAACTTTACTTACCAAGCACCAGGTATTCAAACACCACAATTACTTTTAACATTTTCATCTAATGATTCAAATAAAACTTTATCACCAACCTCCAATGGTTTAAATGGTACCACTGCAGCAGCAACTTCAAACACAACAAGAAACAACTATAATGAATCATTACAAAAAATTGGCGCAGCAACATGTTTTGGAAATATATTTATAGTTGGTGATCCAAATGGTCATATTAAAATTTGGGTTATACCGGTTAATAGTGAACAATTATTAAACCCACAACCAGGTAAACGGATGCCATTAAGAGAACCAAATTTACAGGGATCAATTAGTGATGGTTGGAAGAGCGTCGAAAACAAAACCAAGATGAGAAGTAAAGTTACAGCATCTTTAGTACTAGATGATTCAATGATACTAATTAGAGGCTATGAAGATGGCTCCATAAGTACAAGTAAATTACCTTCAGATTTATTCCCAAAAATTTATCCAGCATCCCACAATAGCAAAGTAAATTATTTAATGAGCTCACCACCAAGCAACCAAAAAAGATTACTATTTTCAGCCTCAAACGATTGTACCATTAAAGTATGGGATTTATCAACTTTTAAACTTTTACATACATTTTCACATCATACTGGTCCTGTATATTCAATTTTCTCTTTGCCACATTCTCGTAGGAACACTTTTATCTCTATTTCTGAAGATAAAACCATCGGAATGTACAGTATGGAAGATTTATCATGTAAACATATGTTTGGAGTTCATTCATCATCAATATCAAAAGTCTATTGGAAAAACGAACAAGGTTATCTTATGGTAGAGACAATAGATGGTAGTGTCTCAATTTGGGAAATCGGTTCTGGTGAATTAGAAGGTGTAGTATATGGTCAAAACGCTAAAGATATTTTAGATAACTCTGAACTTCTCTCAAATAATTGGAAACAACAAGAAAGTAAAATTCATCTCTCAGGTTTACACTATCCAAACAAATCATTGGTATATACTCATAAAAATGATCCACCCATTCAAACCCTCTTTTTAAATATTAAAGCCATATCAAATGAAATTACAGTTTTATCAGAGCAAAGAAATAAAGACAGTTTGAATCCTAATGGTAGCAGCGGAGTTAATGGTTCACTCACTAAAGATTTAAATCAATTGGTTTCAATTTTCTCTTATTTAATACCCTGGAATATGGATAGAAATTTGGATCCATTGTTTAGTAAAGATTTCCAATTAAGAGCACCATTACCGGACTTCTCTTTTGGTCTATTAGGTCATGGTGGTAATATGTCACTATTGACACCAATGGTTTCAAGCTCTGCTGGAAAGGTTCAATGCTCTGAAACATTAACTGCTCAAACCACTTTGGCTGCTATCTCATTGGGTCGTTCAATCCTCAGAGTTGGTGGTATGGAAAATATTATTGTTCAATTAACAAACTTTTATTGTGCCACTTTACCAGAAAGTTTACAAGGCTATGTTTATCCAGATTTCTCCTATCTTGCTCAATATTGCCAAGATGTCAATGATGATGTTATGGTTTCTGCAAGATCTATTTTCCGTACATCCATAGAAAAAATGCCTTCCTCTGCATTTAAAAACATTGTAAACTCATACTGCGATGTTTTAAATGCCGATTGTTTAGGTCCACTCGAAAGAGCCAGAGCCATCATTGTATTAGCAATCATTACATCCAATAGAACAAATACAGATTTCAATACCGCATTCTCCGCAAAGATTGGTTCAGAGTTACAAAGAATGATTTATAAAGGTAGTGGTAATTTAACAATCATTGCAGTAGAACTCTTAGGTAAAGGGTTCCAACTATGGAAAGATTCAATTAAAGATTTACCAGGACTTTTGAAATGCTTATTTGCATTGACAATGCAAGCTGACCCACTAGCAAGCACAGCCAAAAACACACTTTTATTAATTGGTTCAGCTGATCCAAAAACATTTATTCAAGTTATAGGCGATGAAATTTCAAATGAATCAACAAATACCACATGTAAAGTTCATGGAATTGTGCTCATTGGATCACTCATTAAAAAAGATCCAGATTGTGTTTTACCATTCCTTCCAAGAGCTATCGACTCAATCATTAAAAGTCTCGACCCACATGCTTTAGTTTTACGTGAGGCATGTATTCGTCAAACCACCGCCGTACTTCATTTAATGGTCAACAAATACCCGATGGTTAGTTTTCATCATGATACTCAACGTTTAGTTTTAGGTACACTTGATGGATTGGTTGTAATCTATGATTTAAAGACTGCTACAAGATGGCACAGATTCGAATCATTTAAATCATTAATTACTGCAGTTACATTCAACGAAAATGGTAAAATGTTGGCTTGTTACAGCTCAAAAGAAAATGAAATTAAAATTTGGCAAGCAAACACAAATTTCTTTGGTTTTAATTCGCAATTTTCTTGTATAAGAACCGTCTCAACAATACCCTCTGAAAAATCAAATGGCTTTTCACCACCACCACAACCACAACCCAAAACATTACCAGTACCCCAACAACCATTAAATCAATCTTCAACAAGACCAATAATACCAAAGATTGAAAATGTTAAATTAGTATGGCAAAGTCAAAATACTTTAGTTTTAACAAAAGATGATACTAATACTTTAACTTTAAATATACCTTCGCATTAAAAACAATAACAACAATAATATTACTCTTTTAAAAAAAAAAAAACTTGTACTTTTTTATTTTTTAATATAATTCCTCAAACAAAATTAAATAATAAAATTTTATTTATTTTAATATTTAAACTTTATATTTATTTTCTTTATTTATTTAAACATTCTAAATAATGGCTTTTAATTTGCGGAATGGTTGGTTTGGTTTGATTACAAATTGGACATGTTAAAGGTTTCTCTTTTAGTTTTTTAAAGGGTTCTAAATCGATCTATAATATAACAACATTTGTATTAATATTTATATGTATATGTAAACTAAAAATGAAAATAAATAACGACTTACATTAAAAGAACCTTTTTCTTTAACTTGTTTATAAAATGATTCAAAAGGTATAAAAAATTCGGTTGTAAAAGAATTCCAATGCTCTTTTTTTTTTAATGCTGCTGTTTGATAATCATTTGAAATCATATGCATATGAAGTTGTCTCATTGATGGAATTGCATGGAAGCCTATTGAAATTGATTTCTTTTCAGCTGGGGATACACTATCCTCTAAATATTTATTGCCTGTAACAAACATGTATTCCAATAACCCTACATCTTCTTTAGTGAGATCTCTATGCTTTAAAATATGTTTACGTGGTAAAACTAAAAAGTGATATTTTGATTTTGGATATTTATCTGAAATAATAACAATTTTATCGTCATAATATAATGCACCATTTTCTTTTGGCGAATCACAATAAACCAATAATTTATCTGCCCATGATGCTGATGGTTGTTTTAGTGGTTTATCATTCATTTTTTCGCTATTATCTAATTTTCTTTTATTTTGCTCCATCTTTTTAATTTCTTCTTTTTTCTCTACATTATTACTATTATTATCACTATTATTATTATTATTATTTAAGGACCTTTCCTTTTCTTCTTTTTTAATTTCCTTTTCTAATGCATCGATATTAAACTGTATTGATGTGGTTTGATTTGGTAATAAAAATGATAAAATATCACCATTATTAATTTTATATGATATGTTGGTTTCTAACTCTTTACCTAAAATATCCTTAATTTCTTTACTATCTTTTTTAACACTAAAATCCTTTGAACTTATTAAATATGTTGGATTTACCCCTTTCTAAATATTTAATTTAAAAACAATGTTTATTTTGGGTTTAATAAAATTTTAGTGGGATATTCTACAAAAACAAATCAGATTATAATAATATGAAAACTTACAACAATAAAACTTATTGATTGGTCATCTTTATTTATATTTAATTCGACTTGGTTCTTGCTGAGGTATTTATTATCTTTTAAATCCAACCCTGGAGTTTCTCTGCCTATTGGAATTTCTAGAATTTCTTTGCCATCACCCAACTGAATTGAATTTGTATTTTCGATTAATGATTGACTATTATCATAAACCACTATTGATTTAGGTGAAGAAATACCATCCAATACCTTATTTATCGAAATTTTATTTATAATCTTTTCCTTATTCATTCTGTTTAATAATAATAATGAATTTTTAAATAATGACATTAAGGAAAAAAATAAAAATAATAATGAAATTTTTTTAATTTTCTCATTTTTTTATTTTTTTTAATTTCACAAAAAATATTTTTTTAAAATTTCAATTAATTTAAATAGAAATAATACTTTTTTCCACTAAATATAAAATAAATAAAAATAAATAAAATAAAAATAAATAAATAAATATAAAATAAATATAAAACTAGAAGGAGTTTTAAATGTTTAAAAATAAATTTTTATTTTAAAGTTTGTATATAGCGCAGCTAAACATAATGAACCCATATCAAAAATGTCTTAGGCAAAAGTTACAAAGCAGTAATATTAAATTATAATTTTTAGTTTGTACAAGAAAGTATCTATAATTAATAAAAATAAATTATTAGTATTTATTAATATTACGTTTTATAATATATTTAGATTCTTACTTATTTACGAAGTATGGAAATATTAGGCATTTAAAATAAATGATTGCAACTTTCCATTTGTTTTGTTTTGGTAGTTATAGTTAGAAAAAAAAAAAAAACTTCTTTTTTATACCCAAAAAAAAGAAAATAAAAATAAAAAACAAATAAAAAAATAAAAAATAAAAAATAAAAAAAATAAAAAAATGGTAAAAAAATGGAAAAAAATATTAATCTTGTTCAAAGATTCTATTGTTTTAATTTCATCAATAAAACAAAAGATAAATAAAAAAACAAATTACATTTAAATTTATTTGAAAAAAATAAATAAATAATTTTATTAACATTTGCTATCTAATATTATTGAAGGATTTGAATACTTGATATTATTATTATTATTGTTATTATTGCTATTATTTTTTGTACTAATAATATTACTATTGCTACTGCCATCTATATTATTATTACAATTATAATAAATATTATTATTGTTACTGCTACTTATGTTATTACTGTTACTACCAAAACTATTACTATTGATATCATTAATATTATTGAGACCTAATTCACTTTTATTATCATTTGCAAAATTATTTTTACTATTATCATTTTTATTTTTAAATGTATCGTTTATACAGGATCGACCAAGTAAAATCTTTTTAGAAATTACTCTTTTTCTGACTCGGGTATCGTAGTGGATAATGCCAATTAAACATAAATAAATCATTGATATATTAATTAAATCTGTAAAATCGAATAGAATGCCTTGAGTTTCGTTTAAATATTCTACAAAAGCTGTTGTAAATAACTCGACTGCATTATATAAAAAGGTTATACCTAATGCAATTGAGCAACATAAAATCTATTTTAATGTTAATATAAATAATTTTAGGTAATTTTGATTAAATTTTACTTACTCCTAATGATTTTTTATGATTTTTACCAATTAAAAAACCATAAACAAACAATGAACCTGCATAAGATACATCAGCTAAGAAATAAACTATATTAACTATAAACATGCATGATGTGTAAAACTGTGATTCGTCTATTCTATTTGATTCGCAATACGAAATTAAAAAACAAACTAAAACGCCAAATGAATTGAATGATAAAAATACCAAACATACAAAAACTGATGACCAACTTCTCTTTTTATTTTTAATGCTATCATGATATTTATGAATCCTAACAAATATACAAAATAAAAAATTAAATATAATATAATCTTTAAAATAATAGTGATATGTACTTACCAATAAAAAACCAAAGCTGATAAAGTACAATGAATTAATATATAATTAAAATTGAAAAAAAATGAGGTTACTCCAACCTGTAAAAAACTAGATGGTTCTATCCATTCCACACAAATAATAGTAACCTTTACTGTATTTATTTTATAAAGTTAAATATTAATAATTATATTTTAATTTTTAGTGATAAATAAAGATATATCTTACATAATGAACCTATAGCATTTATTAAACCAAGAACTGTAAAAAACGTTATTTTCCTTTTCACTATAAATGCCCTTCTTGCCGCTATTATACTTAATACTACAATAATTAAAAAAATAAATACAAACAGTATCTTTGATTTTGAATAACTATCAAGCAATGGATTATCTAGATAGAAAAAGGTTAAGAGATTAATTAGTAATAATTTTGAAAGTTTAATTTTACCCCACTAAAACAATACATACAATAAAAACTTAAATCCATCTCATTTGTAGTTTCATTATAATAGTAATAGTAACGAGGCATGCTTTAATTACTATGCTTTAGACACAATATAAAATTCTTTAAAATATTTTCCGATTATTAAAAAATAAATAAAAAAAAAATAAAAATTATAAAGAAATTATAGACATGAATTATTATTATATTATAATTATTTTAAATTAATTTGCTTATTAAATACTAATTCCAAACTAATAAAATTTGTTTCTTATATGTTTATAAATATAAAAGTGAATTGATTAAACCTTTATGCTTTTATTTTATTATTTTATTTTATTTTTCAATAATAGATTTTTTTTTTTTTTTTTTTTTTTTATTTTATTGATATATAATTTAATTAAATAAAATTTATTATATATTAAAATTATATTTATATATATCGACTCCTTTTTTATTATTATATTTAAAAATACAAATATTTGTAATTTGGGTACATTTTGTAATATTTCCTAATTATTTTGGTGGGTGTCCAATATCTTGTATATTAAAATTTTTTGTGGGGTGCTTGTGTGTATGTGTGGGTGAGTTAAATATTTTATATATGAGAATTATTATTTTTATATGTAAACTTTGTGAATGTGGGTGTGTGAATATTATTATAACTATAACTATTTTTTCTTCTTTAATTTCAAAATAAAATTTCAATCAATATTTATTGGATCAGAATATTGCCAAAACAATGTTCACATATTATTGCCTCTATATATAAAAATTTTGTTGTTTTAGTGCCGAAATTAAAATAAAAAACTGTGAAATTATATAAAAAAACTCAAAGTATTATAGGATACTTTGAATATAAAGATTGAAGATATGATATCTTTTTTAATTTATTATACATCATATAATAATATATTTTTGTTAGAAGATATATTAATATGGGAAAAAAAAAAATAAAAAAAAAATAAAATATATTTTAAAAAAATAAAATAATAAAAACAAATATCTGAATTGTTTAAATTTTTATAAAAAAAAAAAAAAAAAAAAAAAAAATATTGGGAAATTTCAAAAATTGTGAAAAAAAAAAATTAAAAAAATTTTCGTTTTTTTTGCTCTAGAAATCAATTTTTTTTTTGCCACCTTATATAAAATAATAAAAAAATATAGCAAATAGATAAATAGAGTAATAATAATAATAAAAAAATGGGCCTTTCAGTTATGTCACCAAACACTTCATGTGATTCAATTGAAATAAAGTAAATTTTATATTTTATATTTTATTTTATTTTGTTTTGTTTTGTTTCTTTTTTTTTTTTTGTTATATAATAATATAATTTTTTATATTATATTGTGTTTATTATATTTATATTTATCTTTATAATAATATATAAAAATAAACATAGTTTGTAAAACCTTCATTTGTATTTTGTTTTTTTGTTTTTTTTTTCACAATATTTTTATATAAATAAAAAAAAAAAAATAATTTGTGAATTTGATTGTTAATTTATATAACAATTATATTTTTTTTAAAAAAAATAGGAGTTATACACAATTACATATAAATTCACCATTCTTGGAATCATTACCACTATCAAAATTATATACAAGTGAAAACGCTAAAGTATGGATGAAAATAGATGCCGTTCAACCATCAGGATCATTCAAAATTAGAGGTATTGGTTTATTAGTAAGTAAAATTAAATTTTAATTTTCTTTTTTTTTTTAATAATTATTAATTTTTCTTTTTTTTTTTTTAGTGTAATAAAGTTGTAAATGAAAAGAATGTTAAACACCTTATTTGTTCAAGTGGTGGTAATGCAGGTAAATCAGTAGCATATGCTGGACGTAAATTAGGAATTAAAACTACTATAGTTTTACCAACTACTATACCAGAAGAAACTGTAGAAAAAATTAGAGATGAAGGAGCAAATGTTATTGTACATGGCAATATTTGGGATGACGCTGATAGCTTAGCAAGAGAAATCGCATTAAAAGAAGGCTTAGATGGATATATTCACCCATTTGATAATCCAACACTTTGGGAAGGTCACACTACGATTATAGATGAAATTTATCAAGATGTTTCAAGAGGTATTTCACCAAAACCAGATGTTATTTTATGTTCAGTTGGTGGTGGTGGTCTTTTAATTGGTATTCTTAAAGGTTTAGAAAAATATAATTGGTCTGATATCCCAATTATAACCGCTGAAACTTATGGTTCACATAGTTTTTGGAAGAGTCACAAAGAAAATAAATTAACAAAATTAGAAATTTCAGGTATGGTGATAAAAATATAAAATCAAATATTTACTACAAATATATATCATAATACTAATTTATAATTTTCATTATCTATCGATACAGAGGTAACAAGTACAATTAAAACTTTAGCAACTAGATCAGTTTGCTCAGAAGCTTTTGAAATGTCAAGAAGATTTAAAATCATTCCAATATTAGTTAGTGATAGAGAAGCTGTTGAAGCTTGTCTTAAATATGTAGATCAAGAAAGAATTTTAGTAGAGCCAGCATGTGGCGCCAGTTTAGCTATTTTATATAAAAAACCAACAGAATTATTAAATTTAAATCCAAAAAATATTTTAACAATTGTTTGTGGTGGAAATGGTACCAGTATTTCATCATTAAATAAATCATTACAAACATTACCAATTTTATAAATCAATATTTAAAAATAATTAAAAATCATATATTAAAACTATTTAATAAATTATTAGAAAGAAAAAAAAATAAATAGTTATTTTTTTATTTAATTTCGTCAAAACCCAATTTTACATTTTACAATTAGTTAGTATTAATATAAAAATAAAAAAAATATTTAAAAAACCCATTTAATAAAATGGCGCATAATCAAAACGTTTACAAAGATAAAGATAACGGTTATTTGAATACAAGATTTGAAAATCCTGATTTATCACATGTGAACATATAGAAAAAACAATTGCCCATTGTTCAATAAAAAAATATGCAAAGGGTGCAGATATTTTTATTTTTATGCTCAAAAATTTAAATTTAAAAAAAAAAAAAAAAAAAATTATAAAAATATAAAATATACCACATTTCCCAATGAAAAAGAAAAAGAAAAATCCTGATGGTCGAAATTTTGAAAGGACACACACAATTAGAGAAAATTAATTAAAAAGAGATCTTAATCAATTGTTATACATAATTAAAATTATTTGATAAATTATTTTATTAAAAATAATGCTATTATTTAATATTTATCAATTATAACAATAAAATTAATTTTTTAATAAATACACAATTATTTTACATTTTAATCAAACCCTTCACTAATACCACTCAATTTTAAAATTTTGAAATATTTTTTTTTTTAAAAAAGTCAGTTTACCCACCATTTAAAAAAAATAGATTTTTTCGAAAATAAAAAATAAAATTATTTTTTATTATTTTTTATTTTTTTTTTTATTTTATTTTTCTTTTTCCTTTTTTTTTTCTTTTTTTTTTTTTTTTTTTTTTTTAATAGTTTGTGTATTATTTAGTTATTTTTATTATTTTAAAATTTATTTTTCTTTTTTGGTATACTTTATTTTTTTATTTAAAAAAAAAGATAAATAGACTGGTAAAAAGTAAAAAAATAAAATGAAATTAAATATTGTATTATTAGTTTTTGTATTAATCAGCGCTGCAATCGTTAGCGCTGTTAATATTCCAATTAACACAAACAAAGAAAAACCAGAACAACAAGGTTTCAAATTCGACTACTCAATTTTCCAACAAGATAAATTATCATCAGCCAACGGTGGTTCTCATTGCGCTGGTTGCACTATTGTATGTATTAAAATATTAATTATTAATATAGTAATATAAATAACATAAAAAAATAAAGATAAAAATAATATGGGTTTCAGAAATAATCGTTTTTATTTTTAGTAATAACCACACCCACATAAAAAATTTCAAACGACGAAATTTACAAATAATTTTTTTTTCAAATAATAAAAAAATAAAAATTTTAAAATGTGCAATTTATTTGAAATTTAAAATTTTTTTTTTATTTTTTTAACACACCCTGATCGTTTTTTAAATATTATATGTACAACATATATTAATTATTGACATTTGTTTTTTTAGGCATTAACATTAGTTGAACAATATTCATATATCCATAATAAAACCATCGAACAATCATTAGATGAAATTTGCACTTTCTTCCCATCAAATGCTGGTCAAGTTTGTATTTGGTTAGTCAACACTTATGGTAAAAGTATTATTCAAAATTTCGAAAAATATGAACACGCTGATGATGTTTGTCATGCTATGAATATTTGTACATCACCAGAATGCAGATTATTCCCAAGCAATACTCCAACTTATTCAAACCCAGAACATAAACACGAAGAATATGATGCTTCAAATCCAAAGGTTTCAGCTGATCCATGGAGCTGGATTCAAAACTTAATTAATCTTTTCTCATCAAAACATTTACCAATTGAAGATATTGATAATGATAAATATTCAAGTATGTATTTATTTTTTTACATTAGAATATTTTACATTTAAAGTGGCAAATATTAATAATTTTTTTAATTTTATTTTTATAGTGGAATCAACATTCAGAGGTTACAGTTGGAGAGGTAAAGATTGTAATGATCTTAGAAGTGATATTCATCCAGGTATTAATGAAGAAACTACAACTGATCCATCCATCGATTGGAATTGTAATGGTATCTATGGTGTTAATAATAAATCACAATCATACGAAGATTTATTCTGTTCAGGATCAGGCCCAATGGGTGTCATTGTTTCAGGTGATTCAGCAGGTGCTCATTTCTCCATTCCACCACAATGGATGACCGCCTCACAAATTAACTCTACTACTTACAATGGTTTCCTTAGTATTTTAGAAAACGAAGTCGATTGGCCAATGAGATCAGCTTACACTGGTTGGGAACCATCCACCGATACCTACACTGTCGATTCAATGTACTTAAGAATGAGAGAAAGAAACTTTTGCAATCATAGAGATTATCAAAATCTTGGTGTCAATGGTGCTAGCTCTGGTTCAACTGCCACCAAAATCATTCAAAGTCTTTCACGTAATCAACAAACTGATAACCCAGCTTTATTCTTCCTCGAGTTAATCGGTAATGATGTTTGCAGTGGTCACCATACTTATGATACTATGACCACCCCACAAGAATTCGAAACCAACATCGTCTCAATCCTTAACTACCTCGATACCCAATTACCAAAAGGTTCACATGTCGTATTTGTAGGTTTAGCTGATGGTAGAGTACTTTGGGATAGTTTATGGAATCGTACCCATCCACTCGGTGCCACCTATGAAGAAGTTTACGATTTCTTAAATTGTATTCAAGTTTCACCATGTTGGGGTTGGATGAATCCAAACGAAACCGTTCGTGATTTCACCAGTACCCGTGCTGCTGAATTATCTGCCGTATACAACCAAATCATCAAAAATTACACTTTCACCAACTTTGATATGATCTATTACGATTTCCCATTCAACGCTATCAATGCCCAATGGGTAGCTCAAGGTGGCCAAACTTGGGAATTAATCGAACCAATCGATGGTTTCCATCCAAATCAAATTACTAATTATTTGATGGCAAGCTTCTTCTATAATTCACTTACCCAAGATAAACCAGAATGGTTAGGAAACATCAATCCATTCAATTCACAAATTCAAGCTATTTTCGGTAACCAAGGTGGTTATGTTTAAGCAACATAAAACACAAAATATATAAAATAAATAAATAGACGATAACATAAAACATTAAAAAAAAAATTTAATTAATTTTTTTTTTATCTTAAAGAAAAAAAGAAATAAAATGTAAATATATATTTAAATATATCAGAAATAAAAAAAATAGTAATTACTTTTCTTTTATTATCTTTTTATTATTTTTTAAATTGACCCAAACTTTTTTCTAATGATTCTTTTGAAATTGTTTGAGAGTTTAAATCTTTTTCTAATTGGAAAATACCGGCTTGGTTGCATAGTTCAAACAGTTGTGAACCAGTAAAGCCTTCAGTTTTACTTGCAATATCTAGCCATTCTCGGTCATTGAGTTGGGTTTCGTCAAAGTTCATATCTGATTTTATAACATTAAGGATATCTATACGGTCTTCTAATGTTGGTAGGTCTACTTTAATTAGTGTTTCCAATCTACCGGGTCTAAGTAATGCACTATCAATAGAGTCTATAGTGTTTGTGCAACCAATTAAAAATATTTGAGATTTGACTTGAATACCATCCATTTCATTTAATAGTTGACTAAGAATACGTTTGCCTGTTCCACCATCTTCGCTTGAGTCGTTTGAATCTCCTCTTGATAGGGCAAGTGAATCGATTTCATCGAAAAACATTATACAGGGTGATGATAATCTTGCACTTTTAAAAAGTTCACGTATTATACGTTCACTTTCACCTAACCATTTTGAATATATATCGGATCCCTTGATTGATATAAAGTTGATGCTCATTGATGTTGCAATAGCTTTAACCATTAAACTTTTACCACACCCGCTTGGCCCCCATAGTAGTAGCCCTGAAGAGTTGTTTAATGATAGTCTCTTGAAGGTGTCAGAGTATTTCAAAGGCCATTCAATTAGTTCTTTAAATCTTTCTTTAACTTCTTTATAACCACCAATTTTATTCCATGGTACATTTTGAATTGTAACATCAAAGTTTATCAAGCTTGAAGGTTTAATTGTTTTTAATGATTCAATAAAATTATTAAATTTGATTGCAACCACATTACTGTTTTCTTTCTCATGTTCGTTATCTTCATTTGTAATTGATAATAATGCTGCAGTTCTACACAGTTTGTTTAAATCTTTATAAAGAAAACCTGGTGTAATTTTTGAAAGTTCGTTTATAAATTGTTCTCTTTCTTTTTCATCATTAATTATTTTATTATTATTATTATCATCTTGTTGATCATTTATTATTGGTGTATTTTTTAGAAGTTGGTTTAAAATTAAAATTCTTTTTGATTGTGTTGGAATTGAAAGGTGAATAAATTTATCTATTCTTCCTGCTCTTGTTATTGATTGATTGATATTTTCAATTGATGAGCATGTAGCTATTAATGCTTGATTTGGCTTTAGTTGGTCTATAAATAAAGAGAGTTTGACAATCATTCTTTTTTGATGGTTACTATCATCATCACTTTTACTTGCAATTTCATCGAGGTTATTAATTATATAAATTACTGGTTCGAGTGTATCTCCTTCTGCTTGTTGGTGATCTGATGTTGTTGATGATGCTGCTGGTGATGAATCTTCATTTGTAAAGTCATTAAGGTTTATATATTTTGATTTGAATTTTTTTGAAATAAAATTAACTAGTGGTATTTTACTTGTGCCTTCTGGGCCATCTATCAAAATTCCTTTAGTTGCAAATATTTTGCTTGTATTATTGTTATTTTTATTTGAATTGAATTTTAATTCTAAGATTTCTAAAATTTGCTCTATTTGCTCTCTAATATCGACCAATTCATTATCATTATCATTTGGATTGATTTTATATTTATTATTATTACTATTATTATTGCTGTTGTCTTGATGATTTTCTATTATTTCAAATTCACGTAAATTGTTTAAATATAATGGAGTTATATTATTATTATTACTATTACTACACCCTAAAACCTTAAAAATACATATATTTCCAACTATTGGGAAAATATAATCACATCCTATGATTATCTTTATAAAGGTTAGTTTTTTATCTTTTATATGCTATAGTAAGGAGATTATAAAATAAAATATTTACAGGTTTATATAAAAAATATCTTTTTAAAGATTCTTGTACAATTTTTCTATTATAATTATTGGGTTTTTTAATTTTAATTGTAATTTTATTATTGTTGGTAGTATTGGTATTTATTTTTTGATTGATTGGAATTATTTCAATATCAAAATTATAAATATTATTTATATTATTATCAAAGTTATATTTTAATTTAATTTCGATTGGTAATAAAATTACATTGTCTTCAATTGTTGGATCGGGGTATACCTGTAGTATAATACCATTGTTATTACTATTTGGTATTAAAAGTTTAATATATTGAAATGGTGATAGCTGGTTATTTAGAATTTCTGATAATGTTATAGGATTGATTTTAATTTGGCTGTATTGAACATTTTTATTGAATTTAAATATTAAATTTTCATTTCTAATTATATTTGATGTCATTATTGGGGTGTTTATATATATCGACAAATGATTTCATATGGAAAAATTAGAAAAAAAAACAAAAAATGCGCTCTTAAATTAAGGAAAAATTTTAAAAAAAAAATTCAAAAAAATATTTAATTTTTTTTAAAAACTTTTTTATTTTTTTTATTTTTGTTTTTATTTTCCAATTAACAAATAAATATTATATATATCCAGTTTTAATTTAGTTATGATAAACCAAAATATATAGATATATTTATAGTAATAAAGTTGTATTTTAAATTAAAAAAAACAAAATAAAAAAAATAAATAAAATCTCTCTCAAAAAAAAAAAAAGAAAAAATAATTGGGTTCAATAGTTTTTAAATAATAAAGTTCATATAATAATATATAAACAATAATAATATACACTAATATGATTAAATTCGAATTAATTAAATCAATAAATGATTTAAATCAAAGAGGTTTATTATTGGGATCAAAATGGTCATCAGAACAACTAAATGGATTATCACCAAAAATATTAAATCAAGTATGTGACCCTGAGGAAGAGAAGAAGCAGTTCGATTTTAATAGCAATAATATAGAGTCATCTTCGCCTCCAATCGGATCCAACGAGCATTTAAAATATTTATTAGCAAAGAGTTATTTCGATTTGAAAGAATATAGAAGATGTTATGATGTATTGGTAGATTGTAAATATCAGTTAAATATATTTCTTAGATCCTATTCCTTATTTTTAGCACTAGAAAAAAGAAAAGAGGAGGATATAATAGAACAACAAAATCAAAAACAACAGCAACAGGCACAACAGCAACAGGCACAGCAACAGGCACAACAACAAGCACAGGGGCAAGATCCAACAAACCCAGATAATAAAAACAGTACAAACAATAATAATAATAGTAATTTATTAAGTAATAATGATGGTCAATATGATTGCCAAGAGTTTAAACAATTATTTCAATTTTTTAAAAAATATTATATCGAAAAAAAAAAAGAAATGGATGGATTCTTATTATATTTTTATAGTATATTATTAAAGAAACAAAAAGAGTTTAATAATGCAAGACAAGTTTTAATTGAATCTGTACATAAATACCCATGTAATTGGTCAGCTTGGTGTGATTTGGCAACTATTTGTTCTGATTCAGCCGATATAGTGATGCAACTCTCCCTACCAAACCATTTTATGAAGGATTTCTTTTTGGCACACTTTAAATTAGAACTACAACAAAACAACGAATCATTACAAATCTATCAATCACTTGTAAAGACTTTTTCAAATTCAACCTATATTTTAGCGCAAACCGCTATTGCAAATTATAATTTACGTGCATACGATGTTGGTGAAGAGATATTCGAGAGGTTAATAGAGCTGGAGCCAAGCCGTTTAGAAAATATCGATATCTACAGTAATATTCTATATGTTCGTGATAAAAAAGCAAGTCTCAGTATGTTGGCACACAAGGCTATGAAAATCGAAAAGTATTGTCCAGAGACATGTTGCATCATTGGTAACTATTACAGTTTAAAGTTGGAGCACGACAAGGCGATTATGTACTTTCAGAGGGCATTGAAGTTGAATGATCGTTATCTTTCAGCATGGACCCTTATTGGGCACGAGTTTTTAGAAATCAAGAATGTATCAGCCGCCATCAATGCCTATAGAAAAGCAGTCGATATTAATCCAAGAGACTACAGAGCTTGGTATGGTCTAGGTCAAACTTATCAACTATTAAAACTACCACTCTACTCTTTATATTACTTTAAGAAGGCAACTACACTAAGACCATACGATCCCAGAATGTGGTGTGCTGCTGGTGGCTGTTACGAATTCATAGAGAGAATACCGGAAGCTATCAAATGCTATGAACGTGCCGAAGAAAATTTAGATAGAGAGCGTGTTGCAATTAATAAATTGGCAAAACTTTATCAAGAAATTCAAAATCACGAAAAAGCAGCATACTACTACAAAAAAAATCTTTTCTATTGCGATCAAGAAAAAATTGATGGTCAAGAAATTATTGATGCACTTTTGTTTTTATCAAATCATCACAAATATTCAAATCCAACTTTATCCGAACAGTATTGCTTAAGATTATTGGACTATGCTGGCCCAGAAAAAGAGGAGGCTAAATCAATTTTAAGAGAAATCCACAGCAAATCAAAAAATAATTTAAAAAATCAACAACAACAACAAAATAAAAAATAATAATTCTTTTTTTTTTTGTTCACAAGTTAAAAAAAAAATTATTTCTTTGAATTTTTTTTTGAATTTTTTTAATTTTTTTATATTTATATTTTATATTTTTTATTTAACACCTAGGCATATTTTAATAGGATGTAAAATTAAATAATAAATTTATAAACAAATCACATTATGATTATAATTTCACTATATAAATAGTAATATTTAATAATAACTTTTATTTTTATCATTAAAAAAAACTATGGAAAAAAAAGAAAACTATGATTTATTAATTAAAATAGGGTTTGTTGGCGATTATTGTTGTAATGGTATTATAAATAACTTTGTTAGTGGCAAGGAATTCAATTGGGAAAGTCCTGGGATTAAGCCTATATTTTGCGACTTTACACTTAAATCAATTACTTTGAGAGACAACTCAAAGATAAAAGTATTATTATTCGAAATACCCAAAGATTACGAAAATAGAAGAGCTTTAACAACAAATTATTATAAAATGGGAAATGGATTTATTATAGTTCACGAAAATAGTAACAATAGATGTGACGATGATTTAAATACCATACATCATTGGCTTAAAGAAATAGAAATCAATACATCTTTAGATATTATATCAATTCCTAAAATATTTATTTCAATAAACTCATCGCCACTACCATCAAGTTGTAACGGTCAATCTAGTCTAATTTCAACATTAAAAGAAGACTATTCAGAGTTTTTAAATATGGAATTTTATGAAATATATACCAAAGATAATTCATCAATAAATTATAATAAAATTATAAATATAATAGAGAATTTTTTAGAACAAACTAAAGTTTATTTAAATAATAAATAATATTCAATAAAGTAATTTAAAATTTCATAAATTATCTGTATTCGATTTTAAATTATTTTTTTATTTGTATTTGTGTTTTTGTGCGAGTGTTTGGAAAGAAATAATGATTTTTTTTTTTTTTTTTAATTTCTAAAAATAAAAAAAGAAAAATATATATATACACATTCGCACACAAATTAACACACATCCACCCAAAATTGCTATATGAAATTAATTTCTCTATTTTTTTTGTGCAAAATAAAAAAATAACAAAATAAAAAAAGAAAAATATATATTTTTTTTTTTTTTTTAATTTCTAAAAATATAACTTAATTTATTTTTATTTTTATCTTTATTTTAATTTTATATAAATAAGGAACAAAAAATACTATTATATTAATCAAATATTGATTCAATATATTTTATAAATCTACTTTGATAATCTTTTGGGTTAACTGCTGATATTTTAGTCTAAAAAAGAAAAAAAAATTAAAAATTATATTAGTATTGAGATAACTTATTAAAAAAAATATTAAATTTAATATTAAACTTACTCTATCAAAGAAAATTCCTTTTAAAGCATTTTCACCACGCTTTTTTAAATTATAAGTTGTTAGGATATCAATTAAACCTAAATAATAAACTATACCTCCATCACTTTCTCCTGTATTCGATCTATTAATTATATTTGAAGTTGATAATGATGTTGGTTGTTGAGGGGTATGAATTCTTTCAATAATACCATTAAAATCCTTTTTGAAATAGGATATATCCTTTTTCTCAAGTAACTTTGAACCTTGAGATTCTTTAAGAGTTTGAATTGATTTGTTGTCACTAATATGTAAACCAACTAATAAACTATAATCGCATATACCATGGCTGCACATCCATTCAGAGTCGATTGATAATTGTTGTATAAATACTTTTTTTAATTTACCTAAATGAATCTTTCTTTTTAAATTTAAATCCTTGAATGTTAAATCCTGAGTTTGAATATTAATACTATTTTCTACACCATTTATTTGATTATTACTTGTATTCAAACTATCTGTAACGTTTTGGTGAAGCTGTTGCTCATTGGCTAATTTTTGCTGAATTTTATTAACATCAACATATCTACCTATTGTTGAACCTTTTAAATCATATTTTTCTTTAATATCCAACTTTTGTTCAGAATAGAAAAGATTGACCATTACAACAAATATGATATCTCTATGGCAACTATTATAATAGGAAGCACCATTTAATTTTAATTTTCCCTTTAAGCGATATACTCCCAAGAATCTTGGAAGCAAAGAATTTGGATACTTCATTATGTGTTGATAGTATGATGGAAATAATTTAGTGAATGTTTCATACTCGCTTGATGGAATTGTTTTTAAAAAGTATTTAGAGTCCTCTGATTTATAGAAAAAGCTACCACTTCTACCAGCAGTTTGAACCTCTAAAAACTTTACAATATCAGATATCTCTGGGCTGCCTATTGATGATTTGGTTCTAAGGAAATCGTTGTCGACATTATAATATTTTCTTATTGCCTTAAAAACTTTTGGGGAGAATATTGTAAACTGCCATTTATCTGAAAATGAGGATGTTGATGATGCTGTAGATGATAGCTCTGTGTTTGATGCGACTGTTGGTGAGGTTATAGTTGTATTTAATGAATCTGTTGTTCTTGCTATTGTTGTTACTGTTGATGATGAACATTCAGATGTGGATCCTGATTCTATAAGATGGAATTGATTTATAATTTGTTCTTCATCTAAATCTTCACCTGAATCAATTGGGATTTTAATATTGGTTTCTTTATTAAAATCTTCTTTTGAAAAATCACTAATAATAGAAGCCCCGTCTTTTTGATTTGTTTCTCCATTATATATTTCAAATAACTTTTTAAAACCAATAGTCAATAAATCAATATATTGTTGAGTTTCTTGATCCTGTAATAATTTTTTA